TATAATAATTTATAATATATTTTAACATGTATTTTCGGCGCCAAAAACTTGACACGACTAAAAGATTGATGTCTTCTCCCAAGTTATACTATCTTAGCAGTAAAAGAGTAAAATTTAAATTCATAATTATTTCATCGTTAAGATTTTAATATTATATAAATAAATTATTTTAATTTAAAAATTTTAAACTTTTAAAATAATTTAAATTCTTGTATTCTTTTTTAATAACACATTTCTTTCACATTGTAGTGTTTCATGGGTAAATAAAACATGATGAAGTATAATAAAAAAGAATTTGGCTAGGAAAAAAGATGAGATGCCAAATCTATTTATTTAATTGAACAAAACTATTTTTCTTTCCGTCTAGTATGTATATCATATAATGAAGTGCAAATTAGAAAGTGGACTACTCAAATGTATATATTATGATTTTTATATTTTAAGATAATATATTATGATTTTATTATTTTTAATGTAGATATTTGAATAATTTTACATGTATTTTAATTAATTTTATAGATTTTTAAGTTAATGATTACGCAAAACTTCAATAACTCTAAAATTTATATAACTCAAATAGGTGAGATCTAAATAATAAATTTAGAAATTAATTAATTAATATGAATATTAATATATTTGGAGTTCTGAATAACTAAAGGAGGTGTTGTTTTCATTTTTATTTTCAAATCTAAGAAAAAGGGACAGGTCATCTTGGTTGGTGTGAAGGGAATAAATTAATTAAAAGCTTAATTGTCATAATTATGAACATAAAGTACTTAATTTACCTAAACTTCGGGTAAATAATCATATGATTGAAAACGTTAGGAGCCACACGCGATCATGTAGTGGCTAGGGCATCAAAGTGATAGATTCCTTTCCCTTGATTGTGTTCACACTTGTGCCTTTAAACCTAAAGATTCTATATGAAACCGTGTTCACACCTAATCCACCTAAAGAGCCGCTTGTAGCTTCGGCTTGGTGGCGGGCTTAGCTCTATCCATCACATGAGATACGTCATTCAAACCAAAATTATTAAAGACGTGCTTGGGGCACTAGTTGCCCTGTTTTTTTTTTTTAATAAAATTTTAAATTAATTTTGTTTTAAATTATTTTTTTTGTTTTTATATTATTTTGATATGTTAATATTAAAAAATAAAAATTATTATTTTAATATATTTTAAATAAAAAATACTTTGAAAAATACTCTACTAATCTCTTTAACAAACTTGAAGATTTTAATTTTTTTAAATAACAGATAAGCATGAAAAAAATATTATTTTAATATATTTTTATTTTTATTTTTTAAAAATATTTTTTTAATTTTTTTATATTTAACGTATCAAAATTATAGAAAAGTACAGAAAAATACTAATTTAATATATTTACAAAATATAATTGAAAATACAATATCAAATTAGCACTGGAGCATGATTACCCTTGTTAAATTTTGTTATATTATGTGATTTTGGTGTTGTAGAAAATAAAAATTTTAACCACAAATAATTATAATTATAATTATAATAATTTGTAAAATTTATTTATAATCAAGTGTTTTTTTGAAATTATTTTTAATCAAAATGTTTGAAAACATTTTAAGATTTAAACTGTTGTAGTTAATATAACTAGAAATTTATTTTTTTCTCTTTTACCGACATATTTTATTATCTAAGTACAAATTACAAAGTTTTTTATCACATATAAATAATTACAAGTTCTGCTATGATTTTTTTATCATCATCTAACAGCTGCTTTTTCACATATATAAGTTTTGTTATGATTTTTTTATCATCATCTAACAGCTGTTGATGAGTATGTATAATTGTTTACATCCTCTTAACTTGATTGGTAAAGAAGATCACAGCAAATTAAGAGGATGTGCGAAAGCTTTAAAGTATATTTTATTTTAAAAAATAAAAATTTATTTTTAATACTAATATATTAAAATAATTTAAAAAACTAAAAATAATTTTTAAAAATTCAAATTTTAATTAAAAAAAAAAACAAATTAAAACTCACTCTCAAATTTTGAGCCAAGCCATGGAAGCACCGGCAATGGCTACCCACCAGCATCAACTTCATGGTGGATAGGATTACTCACATGCAAAGTGGCAATTAAGTCAACACCAATCACTTGCCAGGTCACCAAACGTGTCATCTTACGTGGCAACAAATTAGGTCCGACCTTTCTTCCTCATCCGCTTCTACGATGCACCCTCTCCCTATATAACATCCCTCTCCTCTTCTGCCCAAAACTTGCTCTCTCTACGCTATCACATCCTCGAGATATAGAGAAAGATGGGAAATTGTTTAAGACATGAATCACAGGATTTTTCAGGGTTTGACATGCAAGACAAAGTCATGAACAACATAGAAGAGGAAGGACTTCTTGGAGATAATAACACGGGAGATTTCATATCCTGCTCTCCAACAACAACAACAACAACAACTACAAAAGTGAAGATCAAGATTACGAAGAAACAACTCGAGGAGTTGATAGGCAAGGTTGAAGTAAAGGAACTCTCAGTGGAACAAATCTTGTCCATGTTGATGAATGGCAGTAGCAACGATAGATCTTACGAGGCACATGATCAGCTGTCTTGGAGACCTAATCTACAGAGTATACCGGAATGATCATGAGCTGGTTTTGACGAAGGACGGGATCGTGAAGATCCATTTATGTCTTCTTGTCGTACATGGTTTTGTTTTGTAGGGACAGATGTTTAGTCTTACCTAGCCAATGTATTAAGCTAGCTCTAGCCCTATACATTTTGTTCATTTCTGTACATACAGGAACCAATATTTGGTTTTATAGTTAAAAGAATCGTTCCTTTTTCTTTTTAATTCTTTGTTTAACATCTTACATTTTCGTTTCACAATATTGAGTGATTTTTATCCATAAATGTTGATATAATATTGAGTTATTTTTATCCACAAATGTTGATACATGGCATTGCTACAGGCCTCTGCTGTAGCTTGCCGGCTTGTGTTTATGGCACAGGCCTTCAAATTATGAAGGGATAGACGGGGATTTTAAAGATTTTTGTGAAGAGGCTTAATCTTAATCCTGGAGCAACTTTAAATTCTGAAAGGATCGATAGATGGGGACTTCAGAAATGCCAACATGCTATCTTATTGGAGTAACTCTACGCTTGTTGGACCTTAAAATTAAAGGGGAAAAAAGAGAGTAATATTTAGGGAAACAATTATGAATAGAAGTAAATTTTATAAAATATCTTGTTTGTTTCCAATATTTTTATGTCTCCAATCTCAAAACAGTATCTAGTACTTAGTCTTTAATTTGTTTGGATCAAAATTGATCAGAGGGAATTGCCAGTCAACAACTTGCATGGCCGGCATTTACCTGTTTGGATCAAAATTGATCAGAGGTTGCTAGTCGACAACTTGCATGGCCGGCATTTATAGTGGCCCTTTAAACATTTCATGTGCTCTGTCATTGTCATTCAACCACTGAAAGAAAATAGTTTTACATACAAATATAAAAGAGGTCATGGCAAAACCTCGACCAAATCGTTCAAACTTCAACCACATGTTAATTTAATCTTGTTAAATTATAATTTAAACGCCAAAACAAAGGAAGAAATGGTCAAGGGAGATGAAGATTAGACCATATCATGTTTCCATAATGGTTGGCTCAAAGGCTAAGTCACTTCATGTGGTGATTAATTGAAGACTGCATTGTAGCTCTCATCTTCTCGGAAATCATCTTAACCATTGGATTTGTAGATGAATCAACTGAGTTCGATTGATGGGACTTCTCAAAAAATGATTTCAGGAAGAATCTGTGTAAAAGTTGCAGCACCCTTGAAGGTCAAACACAATTCTAGGCGTAGTTATCTGATATATTATCATTATTATATGTATTATATTAGAGTTTATTATACAAATTCCATGAGAACAGTAGTAATCCAAAGATAAGAACCCATCCATGCTACTTCCTTTGTCAAATAATTTAGCTGCTTTGGTGCTCGACATTTTTCAGACATTTATCAACAATCAATGAAATGGTGGAAATAAAAAAGGATTGATATAACAGGGCGCAACGATGCTAAAAGTCAAAATTGTTGGCATACAGTAGCAAGACAAAATGTCGGCCCCAATAAAACTAATTCACTGCTGGATGGATGACAGCAGCTTGAAATCGCAGCCAACAATTGAAACCAAACCAGTAACTGTTATTGTTCTCCGCGAAGAATCAACTACAATTGGATTAGAAGCAGCAAGCTGAAAGTAAGAGCCCGTTTGGCAAAATAATGCTTTCAGCTTTTTCAGAGCTTTAGGGCTTACAACTACAACCACAGCAAATGCCACAGCCATCCCGAAATCGACTGCAAAACATGGATGTTTCACAATAATCTAAAAGCATATATAGTCAAGTTGGTACCAAGCAATTCTAACCATATTAAATAGACGCATAAACAGCCACCGCTGCATCCCATGGAAAACTAAACATTTTTTTACGAATTGATGCATTAGCTGAAATTGAATGTTCTTTCATTTCAAAATGATCATACAAGAACAACAAAAGAGCATGCAGCAGCTTTATAGGGTTATTTAAAAATCAAATATGAATAGCATAACAATCCTCTAGTTACCAAGGACCTTGAGAAATGAAGAGTTTCTGCTTTCTGTTATCTATATTCTTGAAAGTTCACATGGCCTGTGGCTTGCGCATATTCAACAGCCTCCTAAATATCAACATGAAAATGAAAATGAGAATATAGAAATCGAGTAAAATTGCACCCAGCTCGATATAAGCATAAAGCTCAATATAAGCACTAAGAATGGAGCAAGAATAGTAGTATCAATATGAACTAACCTTCTGACCAATTACTCCAATTTGGCATACCCCGCAGCGCAAAGTGAAGTTGGCAGTGTCTGTGTAACTTCTTTTCCTGCCAGTAATACAATGAAATAAATATTTCAAAATTACAAGATTTCCCAATTGGCATATACCAATGGAGAAAACAGGGAAAAGAAACAAAAAGAATACATCATTGCTAGATGGAGAATAAAAAAAGAAAAAGAAAGAGAAAGAGAGTAAAACAAGAGCATTGAATGGGAAAGATTCTAATGATCCTGAAATGCAAAGCAGTTTAGGATTAAAAACCAACATTTAGTGTAACCTTAATCCATCTTGTAAATCTGACTCATAAAGGTTCTAGAATGGCAAAGAAGTTTCCAGGAAGATGTGAACTATGATGCTAAAAAAACCTATGGTTGTCAAGTTATCTCCAGCCTCTGAATTATTTGGATTTTGTCTAGAGGGCATTTATCTGATCATGTAGTCTACTTCCAGTCACACTATGTATTCAGAAGAGGGTATACATGAGCTAAATATTTCGCATTTGGAACATAAAAGCTATTTTCCATCTTCAGGTATTTGTCCAATTTAGTTTCCATAAATAATACCTTTGTTGCTCCTTAACAAGATTAAGAGCATGCCCCTTAGCTGGCCCTATCGTCCTGTCGTTTTGCACCCCAAATATGGTCTGATCAAACTCCTCTGGAGCTCCCTCAAATGGAGACATCTGTTTGGATGCATAAGCAAGAGAAAGGTCCCATAAGTAGGGTACAAAAAAAATAAAAAAATAAAACCCTGTTAATGGAGCATGGCAGGAGATGTAAAATAAATTATTATTGCAGCATGGCAAGTCAATAGTGGGAATTTGTTACCAAACAATCCTGCAGCCTATAGCTTAATGCAATCTCTCCGGTGTTTCGGACTATGTTTCGACCATAAGATCTTCCTTGTAGGGACTTAAGACTGTATTCTACATTCAAGGATCACACATATTTTCCTTTTTATATCCTCCTTTAATACTCCAATTTGACAATAAAATCAGGCTAAAATGCTACTTAATAAATAGATTGGCAGTGTAAAACATGTACAGCTAAAGCATCATAATGGAGTCCATTGTAAATCAGCATGGCCCTTTCTGAGTACGTCCTCTCCTGTCAAATAGCAGCATAGGGCAGAGGAAGAAACTCACAACCATTCAGTAATGCTCACGTTGGTGATTTCTATTTCTTAAAAAAAAAAAAGAGAAATTTTAATAGCACTGACCTGACCCCATACAAATCACATCGCATGGTCTGGATATCATATGCTGCAATTTCACGTCCATAATAATCTGCTAATATTGAAAGCTCAATGGCACCTTCACAAGACAGCACCAAGCAACAAAAGTAATCAGAACAGGTCAACAAGCAATTAAACATTCTGAAAAAAATAGAGTTTAGTGCATGATTGTGAAAGAAAAAGAATGCATGAAAGAATTTAGTAAATAACGATCCTGAGAAAAGCAGAGAATTTAGTGTCTATCCGATTAAAACAAATTAAAAGACTACAAAGACATGCTTAATAGAAGCCAAGGACCTAACAATCATCAACATCCTAGACTGCATGATACCCTCACTGCTAAAATGTAATGCTTAAAATTCAAATTCAGTATCTAGCTTATTACAAGAATACCAAATTTCCTACGGAAAACTACAGACAAGATTTTTGTAACCCTTTATATGGTGTGCTTCCTATTATGTACGCTGATATGATCAGGGTGGCTACTCCTCGTACAAAACATATATAATTTATTGCCAAAAAAAATTATACAGAGATTTCCAGCTCATAGGTTATTTGCTTGTGGGATTTCCTGAAGTGTTTCCATTGGCGTTTCAAGGAATACAGCAAACTATGCATCCACCTTTACAGCACTAACTTGTAGAGACAAGGTCCTCACAAAACAGGTTCCCCTTTCTAAGGCAGAAAAAGGAAAATGCCATGCTTTTTACATTCTTTATACACGCTCGAAAGTTGAAAATATGATATTGTGAGAAATTAAAAAAAAAAATTATTTGATTTAAGTCAAATTATATGATTGATGTATTGACAGCTTTCCTTTGGAGAAAAGAAATGTGCTTTATTTTGTAAAGATCCCAAAATCCATGTCCTATACTTTGAATATAGAAAAGTGCTTTATTGCACAAGAGAATAAAGAGTGATGTTGCAAATATTAATAGATTCCCAAAGCTAAACAGCGATGCAAAAGGCAATTTATCTTTACCAACTCTTTTACCCTGCAATCACAGGAGGAATGTATTATCTTCTAGGTGAAATTTTTCTTTTTATTTCGCTGCCACTAAGCATGTTCTTATTTTATCTGATTACATTCCTCCTGTGATTTTGCAACTTCAAAATCCACCAAAATATGTCCATACAGCATTCAAAGCATCTCCAATTATGGTAACAACAATTGTTACCTCCAAAAACAAGAAACTAAAATTTAAAAAATGAATATGGAACATGATTAGTACTTAAAAGTGCATTTTTATCATGGTTTTATATCATCATTTTGCACTTGAAGTATCAATAACTCCTTAACTAAAATATATTTTATAATAATGTATCTAATAATATAAGATACCTATAATTTGTGGTAAATGTCTATTTTTAATGCAGGTCTATCACATAAATGAAAGGATTGATTGATGACTTGAAGAACTTAAATTGCATGGATAAAGAGATGACCAAACTTAGAAAAGAGATATCGGTGCAATCCAAACTGGAACACTGTTCGGTAATTGGGTCATATCTGGAGTTACAGATCTCAGATTTAGGTCCAATTTATATGGATGGAAAGGTAAGACATAGGCCTACAACTTTCATATGGAGCCCAAGATCTAAAAAGGCCATTATCAAGTCCAAATTGTAGCAACAACAAAGAAGCCCGAATCTGTCTTCCAGCCCGAGCACTGTTCGGTATTTTGGCCATATCTGGAGTTCTAGAAGTCCAAATGAGCTGAATTTTTTACACAAGAAAGCTGAGACAATTGCCTACAACTTTCATGTTTGCACCTGGCTCCAGTTTTGACGTTATCAATGACGTTTTGGGCAGACAAGAGAAGATAAGGATTGTCACCAAGTCAAAAGTTGGCCACCCACTTATCAATTAGTCATCAAATCAATAGTTTCCAATTTTGGCCTATAAAAGGAGGCATTTGCCATGCATTTAGGCATCTTGGTGTTCAGATCAAGATCATGCTCTTCCTTTCTCTCTTTGTATTTTTTGTAATGTTTATGCTTTACTTTCATTAATATCAAGTTCATGCCTTTCATTTCCTTTCCTTTACTTAGTTAACTTTTATGTTCTTATTTTGTTTATTTGTTTTCCTTTCTTTCATTATGTCTAGCTAAGTTAATTATGTCAAGGTGAAAAGGTTACACTAATGGTGGAAGAATAAGTATAGTGTAAACTTAATATGGACCTGGTGTAAGAATAAGTATAATGTAAACTTAATATGGACTTTAATGTTTGATACTAACATGTTTTATATTTGTTATCTTGTTCACTTTTTAATACTTTGCTTGTTAAATGACTAATCTTGATTTATGTTGTATAACACTTGGTACAACAAATGCTTGGCACTTTCATAGTCCATAATGTATGGTATAACCGACACCTGAGCTATGAAAGGAACTTGATTTGTTGTTAACATAAGTTATAATCATGAATGCTTGACGAGATTTACAAGTATTAGCATTAATTGAATAAGATGACTAATGTAATCATGTTAACAATATATAATCTGATTGGAACCTCCTTTGTGTATGGTTTCCAATTCAATAATAAGAGTTTATACTATACTTGTTTGATATACCATTAGTGGAATCTCTAACCTTGACATTTGTTATTATTATTGCTTAATCCTTACATTAATATTTGATCTCCAAGTTCTCATCATCATCATCTTCTTCTTCTTCTCTTTCTTTATTATTATTATTATTATTATTATTATTATTACTATTACTATTATTATTATTATTATTATTGTTGTTGTTATTGTTGTTGTTGTTGTTTTATAATTGTTGTTTATAATTATTGTTGTATTATTGTTATTTATAATTTGTACAATTAACCTCCCTGTGGTTCGACCCCGGTCTTGCCGGGTTATTTATTACTTTGACACTCCTGTACTTGGGAGAAGACATCAATCTTTTAGTCGTGTCAGAACACACTTGTGTAAATCTAGACATCTAAATCCTGCAACTAGCAGTTCACTAAACATGCAACAACGTAACTCCATACACGCATTATTTGTTCATATACAGTATTGCTACCAGATTGAACATTATAAACAATTTTTCCAATTCAAAAATCAAAAGTTTATGCTTTAGAAATTAAAGTAAACTTTTTAAGGATCAAGTTGCTCCAACTATACTCATTTCACATAAAGAAAATCAAAAGGTTAAAGAATTACACATTTTTTTCTTATTGAAAGCCAAGCTAGAATAAAGATGAGAAGCAAGAACCTGTCTCAATTCAGGAGCTTTTTTTCTGTCATGGTCCATATGACATAGCTTCAAACAAGCAAAAAAACAGCATCAAAGATTGAAACTTAGCCATCAATTCATACAATTGAAACAAACAAAACACTGAAAACAGAACCATCATAGTTTAAATTTTACCCAACAGCATTGAAAAGACAATTATTGTCCGAGGGAATAACCCTTCTAAGAATGATTCCTTCCATGGTGCCAGTAAACAAGAACCTGCAATCCCAGGTAAAATATCAGCTTTATACTTGTAATTCAAAAGGTACTAAAATTTACAAGAACCCAAATTTTAAAACTTGGAACAACTACAATGCACCTGCCAGAAAAATAAAAAGGACCCACATTTCCACCAAGCAAAACCACCCCCAGATGCAGAAACACAACAAGAAAAGGAAATGAATGGTTAATAAGAATCTTTTATAAGTAATTTTAAAAAATGCCCACAAGAACGATATGTATGTTACAAGGATGAGCTGATAGTTCAAGGCAAAGAAACTTCAAGAAACAAGAAAAGCAAAGAAAGAAATAATAAAACGCTGTATTATCTAAAGATATAGTGTTGTTCTAAGTGAAGGAGAAATCTTACGGGTTTTGAAAATGAACAAGGACTGGTTGAGAGAGAGTTTTTGGGTCCGAGATATCGTTAGCTATTTGTAATCGGTTTGCCTTTTTAAGTTCCCATTTGAGCAAGGGTTAAGGCCTCGTGTCAAGTAGTTTCTCAAAGTTAACCAGTAATTAGTCTTTGCTGTGGATAGAATCTATTTAAAAAAAATATCAAGAACGCGAGGATTCTTTGTAATTTCATTAAATATGGTTAGGCGGCTAAATCTTAAAACCTGTGGATCTCTTTGTCTACTCAAATTTTTAATTAAAAATGTGAAAGCTGATATGATTATAATTAAAAAAAACTTAAAACAATGTTCTATTTTATTAATTTCGATCACCCCCTGTAATCTGTATCTATTTAATTTAAAAATTTTATTTTTAAAATTATTTTTATATAATTATATAATTAAAAAATAAATTTTTATAATATCGAGTATCAATCTTAAAATAAATATTTATTTAAATATTATAAAAAATAAATAAAAATAATTATGAAATTTATTTTTCAATCAATCTAATATTAAAAGATAAATATAAAAAAATTAATTAAAAAATTAGATATTCTTAATTAACAACCAAATAAGTAAATCGGGTCATGGACTTCACTCAAATTAATTATTTTTTTAAAATTATTTTTTATTTAGTTATATAATAACAAAAATAAATTATTTTTAAATCAAAAACATCATATCATGATTTTTTTTTTTTTGAGATTCCGATAACCTCACATAAAGTAAAATAAAAAAATCATGAAAATTAATTTTTAATTAATATAATATCAAAAAATAAAATAAAAAAATAATTAAAAAAGGTTAAACTTGTCAAACAACAAATAGGGTTAATCCACCAAACTTTTAAACAAGTTCATGGACTTTATAAAATTGAATGATATAATTTTTTAAAATTATTTTTTTAATTATATAAAAAAAAAGGACAAATGATAATAAAATTAAATTCAATTAAAAAAAAAGTATTTTATAAAATCCATAAATAACCAAATTAAATTATTCTACTAAACTTACAATTTAAATTATGGATTCTTTAAAATTTAACAGTTTTTTTTAAATCATTTTTAATTAAAGTAAATATTAAAAAATAAATGAACATATAAGTCATCATCAACTCAATATTATATAATTTATTTAATATTATAATAACTTTATATAAAAGGTAAAATAAAAAAATATTATAAAATTTAATTTTTAACTAATTTAATATTAAAAAATAAAATTAAAAAAATTAATTAAAAAAAATATAGGATAAAAAG